ACTTCGGTACACAAGCTACCTAATGCACACTCGCGGTAGCATTATTGGTAGTCCTAGACTTAGCAGTCCCCATAGCCTACGTGGTACTTGTGCTAGCACGGCACCAACAACAGCAGGATCTGCATTGTCATATCTTAAACTGTTTGTGCTCGTAACATCTTGTGCTAGTGTTATCGGTACTACCTGCGTATACGAAAATTGCCGATGGATGGACTGCCTTTCCATATGCAGACAACTGTCTTGCCGTATTACTCCGATTGTTTGCCAAGTACACAAACTTTACCTTTACGGGGGTTTACGCAGCAGACATACGTTTTCGCGTGGGGACTAGCACAGTACGTTTTACAGAAGCGGCAGTACCGGCATTGCCTTAAATCCGGTAGGACTTGCAGTAGGCTTGTTCCACGCAGGCAGTTCAATGGTGGCCGTAAAGCCTCGTTTCCACAACTGGCAGCAGCCCAGACGTAACCCAGCACTTCCACACGTCATTCGTGTTGGCCTATTACTAGCTAATTCATTCCTTTACTACTAGCAGTATCAGTCTTAACCGTTACTTCTGCTATCTGCTGTTCGGCAGATAAAGGTAGCAGTGACATACTTAGTACTATCGGTCAGCGATATGAGTCAGTGTGCTAAGTCTACAAATGTTAACTGGATTTCTGAAAGGTGTTTTCGTTTCAAAAATATTACTTAGGTAGGGTTTTGAACCTAATAATCACGTAGCTTAATCATATAATAATTCATTTGCCGCAGGAGGCTGGCTTTCAAAGGAACATCTTTCCGGCCGCATGCAACACCGGCCTTTAGCAAACAATGACTATTTATATAGTATGATTTTTTTCGTAGACTTTAGAGCGCCTTGCAAATTAAATTCCATGTCATGGGAAGCACGCATGTACTTATTCTTTCTTTCACTCATTCAGTAGAAAATTACGTCTTCTTTAAATTTCATACTCAAAGGAAGGGTATCATTTGGTTTTCTAAACATCTTCCAATTCCCGATTAACTTTGAGCCCTACCTGCGGTTACGCATGCATTCAAGGTTTAGAACCTACACATCATACATTTTCTGCGTGAGGAATATCATACATTAAGAGGAAACCATAAGGGGTTCATTAAATCTTGCAGGGAATTCGAGTTATATCGTAAACTTTACCAGCAACATCACTAACTACAGGAGTATAATGTTTTATGGACGGTCATTTCACGGAATTAAAACATCTCATGACATTGGGTAGATAAAAATACGCAGCTCGTGGCCCGCTATACTACTCGTAAGTAACCACATTAATAGTAAACTTCGTCCCTTTCGTTTGCTATCTCCTTTTACGACACTGCCGACCACTTATTAGTTCTTTGCCTGCAGAGGTAGCGCTCTCTTATTTAGTATGGGTCTTCCAGTCCGTACGATGAAGGCGAGTGGTATAACCAATCAAATGAACTCATGCAGTTGTCTAAGCAGCAGACAATTTCTTAGACTTCCTGCTCATATAAGTAATAACTGAGACAATTAGTTGCAAGGCCGACTACTTGCGTTTTCCGGGTCTTTTACTCATGTTATCTGTTCGCTCACTCCTCCCCTTCCCCACCGGTTCCAGCCTGCATGAGTACTCGATAACGTACACACCTGTGGGTGCGTCGAGTAATTATAAATGACGATGCATGCTTTGAAATACTCCTTAACGTACTCGGGACTTACTTTCATAACAGACCACACTGTATTACCTAAGCAAACGTTTTACTGTCAATGGCACGGTTTACTATGGTGGCCTTGTTAGTGACTTCGTGTACGTAATCTACCAATGGCATTATTATTAAGAGGCTCTCTGTTGAATAATCCATTCACATGTTCAAATACCGGTTCACCTGAGTTAACCGATATGTCATGGAATTGTTCTACGCTTTAATTAATATTACAGCTTTACCAAAAGTAGGTGGACTAACTCAAGAAATGTCAACCGAAATTCTGAAATGCTTCTTCGTTTCGAAAAGATCACTTAGGCAGGGTAGCAAAATTAATGATCTTGCAGTGTAAATCTATAGTGATTCAGTTACCACGGGATGTCGGTTTTTGAAGGAACTTCTTTTTGGCCGCCTGCAAAACCCACACTCTGTAGAAAATGACTACTTAAGTAGCGTGATTTTTTCTCATTCGTGTTCGATACCGTTAAAAATGCAATTATATTTCATGGAAAATGTGCATAAACGTAGTCATTTTTTTATTTCCTGGATAGAAAATTGCATCATCTTCCAAATTTTAAACTCAAAGGACGGCTTTAATTCAGTTTTCGAAGAGTTTTCCAATTCCCGCATAATTTCGAACCTGACCTGCAGTTAAACTTACATTTAGACTTCAGAAACTCGGGCCATATATTTTCCGCGTACGGAAAACCTTCCGGTATGAAGAGGAGACCATAGGCGGTCCACCGAATTCAGCAGTGGATTTGAACCATATTGTAAACTTTACAAGCAACATCAGCAACTACAGAGACGCGGTGTTTTATGAATGGGCATTCCACGGTTATTAAAAAATGTCATAATTAGGAACTTTTTCCAACCGAATTTGAGTGTAAAATTGGACAGAGACGTAATTTTGTACCTAATGGGCAACAAATGCATATTTTTATGCATGTTTTCCATTAAATATAATTGATTCAATACGAAAAATTCATGCTACTACATCAGTCGGTTACTTCATTAACCAGTGTGTCGGCAGGTTAGGACAGAGCGTGATCATCTTCTTAAAATGCCCACATTTCACAGTCTCCGATAACCCTAACCTAGGGTTCGATATGCCTCCCTATACAGCATACTATATACTGCATTTCTGTCCTACCTGTTCATAGGCACACCATAATTAGCGAACTTGCTTTACCTAATCAACCGCTTTTCGTCCCTGCTCGACCTACTGCAATGGAAGTCGTATGCGTACATGAGCGGCGCAATGGCATCCATTGGCCATACCTACTATCGCGCACTCGATGCCTCCCTGCTGTTGCCTTTTTCAGAGAAAACGGCAAACCCTGCGCCATTAATTTCCTCCCGCCCAGCGCGCAAAACACACGCACTCCCACCAGCCCATTGGTCAAGACCCTGGCCACTACGGCTTCCGTTCTAACCCGGCCAATAGGGTTACCGCATGACGTCCTAGGTCCCCTCCCGGCTTCCCATAGGCTGCTTTTTCAGCGTGAAGGTCATATATGAGGTTCGTTTGATGCATTAAAACAAATTTTGGCGTAAATGTAATTTTTTAATTATCGCGCACTATATTACTTGCTGTTTGGCACGTTTTAGAGGCCCCACCCGTACAACCCCTCCTACCACCATTCCCGTAAGACAGGTGGACGGGGGAAAAAGTTTTCTTCACTGTTGCGACACTGTATTCACGCCGAAAAAAATTAGTTACTATCGTCAGCGCCCATGCACCTCAATAACCTACTCTGATGATGAGGAAAACAGATTTTGCGCACACTCCTTAACTACTGTGTAAAGGGAGAACAAAATGATTGACTTGGGAGATCCCAACGCAAACGTAGACCCAGATTATTCAGCCTAATATGGAGTGCTCGGTCGCCTTGAAGTCGGCAGCTGCAACAATGACATTATCACTGCAGACCTGTAGGGAACACAGTCCTCTTCTGACCAAAACGTTCCGTCTTCCGATGCGCGAGCAGACGACGTGGATACACGACAGTTCGACCGCCATTTCCGACGATGTCCACCGTATGTCCCACAGCAGGGTCGGAGCAGGGGCGGTAACCTGAGCGGGAGATTATGGTGAGAGTAGATTTGCATTGCACCTACCACACTCTCTCCAACTCCCCCAACCCGGACCCGGTGTCAAGACAGAGTCAAGAAGACTGGAGACGGGGATGGCGCAGGTGGATGGCACGGTCGAGCCCGCACCTTGGCATTGCACTCCACACCCCTGGTCCGCACAACAAATAACCAGGTTTTTGGGCAACAACAGAGACTGGAGACTGGCACGGCCGAAGTCACGCCTAGGCGTGCCGCCCACGCCCGGGTGGGATCCCACGTAATGGGAGTGCTATAAAGGTCACATTAAGGAGGAGCCACTGCAGCCTGACTCCCAGAACACAAGCCGGCCACTCCACACAAACACATACAACACTGGGCCGACTGAGACGTCTAAGTTATCCCATCAGTTGGCAACCTTCCAATCCACGGCTTTTGGCGCACCGTGATAGTTTCAAGCGTGTCAGATTGTTTTTGGTGAGGAAAGTGCGCTGAGTCGTCGACCTCACTCTCCCTTCCCATTCTTACACTTAAGTCCCTTTCCGAGCCGGTCAGCTGACTGCAGCGGGGAATGGGCGCGGTGGCTGACATGGTATAGTGACCTTGTCTGCGCACAGTCACCTACATTATCCAGCCTCCCAAACGCAAGCCCCAGAATTTCACACAAAGGGGGCTGGACGGCGTACCTCTCACATGCGTGAGAGTGCTGTGTTAGGAGCTGATTCGGCCCGGCTGCCAGCCCGCCACTTCTCACAAACACGCAATTGGACGGACCGCGTAGACGTAGTTGGGACTTCAGTCAGCAGCCTTCTATCCGCGGCGCTTGACGCGTCGGGATAGTCTCAGGCCCGAGTCACCCGTGCAACAGGAGCCGCACGGAGACTGAGTCGAGACGCACACCTCCTACTTGCGTGGACGATGGCAGTTGGTGTTTGCGGTGGGGGATATTGATGTGCGGCGAGGTGATGGTGAGGGAGGGTGTGATGATGTTGTGCAGCCGGCCGTTGTCTACCGCAGGTTTTCGTGGATGCACATGTGGGCGAATAGGCCCATGCTGCGCATGAAAGTGCAAGGGCAGTGTGAACAGTGGAGGTGGATGCGGCGGGTATAGGTGGGTGCTTCAGGAACCAGTTCGCCAGTCTCTGTGCGATGAATTCGCAAGTGACCGGCCAGGCCGGTGTGTGAGGTGAAGGTGCGGCCGCAGTGAGGAGAGGCGTAGTCCAGATACTCATTTCAGCTGTCGGAGGTTGTAGTGTTGGTGTTTGTTGTTGTGTCAGGATTGTGTGCAACGTTGTTGTGCGTGACAGCCTTCACAACGGTAGCCGTTGGGGAAGCGGAGGATGACGATGAGGAAGAGAAAGAGGAGGAGGAGGAGGAGAAGGAGGAGAAGGAGGAGGAGGAGGAGGATAGAAGTGGTGGTTCCGCCAAGAGGCCCGAGTTAACTGTCGGCGGAGAGGCAAAGGAAGAATTGGACGGAGGGACGACGGTTGATGCGGTCCGAGTGATGCAGTTGATCCGAAGGTGTTCAAAACGTCCAATTCGTGCCCGGAATGTCCGTCGACACCGAAGACACGTTGGAGGCGGTTGTTAGTTGGCATCGCGGGGTGGGCGCCGCTGTGATTTTCGTGCTTTGTGTTTGGCTTTGGCGGCGGCGATGCGGTTGGCTTCGTAGATCGCAGCGTCTGTCTTCACCGTCCTTCCCAAGGTCGGTCGGTCCCGGGCCAGGTCTTCCCAGGTGGCCGGATTCATTTGTAGACGTTTCATGGAAGACGTCAGAGTGTCCTTGTATCGAAGAGTTTGGTCTGTTTGGCGGCGTCTCCATAACAGAGTCGTTGGGGAAGCCTCTGGTCGAGCATTCGCACGAGATGGCCGCTCCAAAGCACTTGTAGTTGCCTCAGCATTGTGTATTTGCTGAGGATCCTCGTCCGTGCCGTTACATGAGTGTTAGGGATTTGGTCCTGCCACCTCAGTTCAGTATTCGGCGAAGGCAGCTGAGGCGGAAGTGGTTCAATCGACGTGTCTGCTTCGTGTACGCCGTCCAAGTCTCTGGTCCATACAGCAGCGTCGGGAGGATGATGGCCTTGTACATCGTCAGTTTAATGCTAAGCTGGAGACCGTGACGAATCCAAACTGTGTTTTGAAGGCGACCGAAGGCTTGACTGGCTTTCGAAATCCTGCGGGCAACTTCGTCGTCGATTTTGGTGCCGCGGGAGAGGTTACTGCCCAGGTACGGGTAAGTTGTCCATTATTTGCATTTTGGTTCCGTTCACTCGGATCTGGGGCGCATTGTGGGGAGGGACTGCGTTGGGTGCCGGTTGATGCACGACCACCGTCTTCTCTGTGTTGATGACCAGACCGAAGTCCTGGCAGGCGGCGGAGTAGAAGTCCATGCCTCTTTGCATGTCTTCTTCCAAGGTGATGTTGAGGGCGTAGTCGTCAGCGGAGAGACGTTCGTGAACGGTGGTTGTGGATACGCGCGATCGGAAGTACATCCGCCGTTGATTGTGCAGGTGGCCGTCCGTCCTTTAGGCGATGCGGATCCCGGGGCGTTCATCAGCATGGCAGAAAACATAAGACTGAAGAGGGTAGGCGCCAGCACGCATCCCTGCCTCACTCCGTTGGTCACAGCGAATGTCTCTGAGACATCTCCGTTGTCCGTGACTCGCGTCATCATGCCGTCATGCAGTTGACGCACCATCTCAATGAATTGTTCGGGACAGCCGAATTTCTGCATGATCTTCCACAGTCCTTCATGATTCACCGTGTGGAAGGCTTTCGTCAGGTCCACGAAAGTACAGTACAGGTGGGTCCGCATCTCCTGGCACTTCTCCTGAAGTTGACTGGCGGCGAAGATCATATCCGTGGTCCGGCGATGACGATGGAAGCCGCACTGGCTTTGCGGCAGATTACCCTGTTCTAGGTGATTATTCAGGCGGTTGAGGAGCATGCGAGCAAAGATTTTCCCGAAAATATTCAGCAAGGAGATGTCTCGATGACTGTCGCAGAACTGGCAGTTTCCTTTTTCGCTTGCATAGATGCGTGATTGTGGCGTCTTTGAAATCCTGCGGGAATTCGCCTTGACGCCACATCTCCTGAAAGACCTCAAATAGGTGATCCAGGAGTTGGGGGTCGCCGTGTTTGTAGATCTCAGCAGGGATCGCGTCATATCCGGATGCTTTCCCTCAGGAGATCTGCTTCACGGCTCTGATGGTTTCTTGGAGAGAGGACGGGGATTCGAGGTCCACATTGGTCTCCACTTGCGGCAAACGGTCGATAGCGGCGCCGGCGACGGTGGAGGGGCGGTTGAGAACACCTCGGAAGTGCTCGGCCCATGACTGTAGAATGTGTGTCTTCTCAGTAAGAAGGTTACGGCCGTCGGCGCTGAGGAGAGGGGCAGTGACTTTGGTTGGTGGACCGTAGACAGCTTTGATTGCGGAGAAGAAATCCCTCCATTTGTTGCGGTCAGCGTACCCTTGGATCCCCTCAGCCTTGTGGGCCGTCCAGGCATCCTGCATCTCGCGCAGTTGCTTTTGAACGAGGCGACGACTATAGTAGAAAGCGGCTCCGTTGTCATCGGTGCAGCGGTCGACGTAGGCTATATGCAGGTGGTTCGTCTCGGCGAATAGGTTACTCATAGCGGCGTCGATGTCATCGAACCGCTCTTGGTGTTGGCGGTGTGCGCGACCGAGGACGGTCAGCGCCGTCGACTGGACCGTGTTCCGCAGTCGACACAATCGGCTCTCCACGGAGGCGTTCTCGTCAGCGGCGTCGTCGGCTGTGGCTGCGACTGAAGTTTGTCTAGCCGTTGAGTGAGCTTATTGCTGAAACGGAGATGGTGAACATGCGAAGACAATAAGGCAATATTCAGCTTACCCGGGGGTAGCTTACCTTGTGGTCACCTGCGAGGTTGTAGGCGAATACGCATCTTCGAGATGACGGGGCGATGGCCGGTCCACCCGTCGGCACCCGCGATCGCTTTTGTCACCAGCACGTCCCGCTGATCTCGCCTCCGGACGAGGACATAGTCCAGCAGGTGCACTGACGCGACCGAGGATGCATCCAGGTGGCCTTCTCTCGCTCCGGCAGACAGAAGGTGTTCGTAAGGATGAGGCGGTGTTCTGCGCAGGTGCGGAGTAGCAGCAGACCATTGTCACTGGAGCCGTCGAGACGATGGAGGCACAGCACTCCTCTCCAGGCAGCATGGTCTGTGCCGACGCGGACATTGAAGTCACCAAGGATAATCAACTTGTCCGCTTTCGACACAATCGCCAGGAGGGCGTGCAGGACCTCGAAGAATTTGTCTCTTGCGGCGTCAGCGCTGGTCATCGGCGGAGCGTAGGCGCTGATGATGGTGGCGAATTTGCCCCTACTCCGCAGAGGCAGGCGGAGGCTCATCAGGCGATCGTTGATGCTCTGCGGCAAGCAGGGCAGTCTTCCCACGATGTCGTTCCGGTTGGCGACGGTGACGCCCGCGTCTCGTCGTTCTGCCTTTGGGCGACCGATCCAGAAGACGGTGTAGCCGGCACCTATCTCCTGCAGTTGGTCTTGTTCAGAGAACCGGGTCTCGCTGAGTGCGGCTATGTCCACCTTGTAGCGCGCCAGTTCCCGGGCCACCAGCGCGTCCTCAGTTCCGGTCGATTGCTCCTCATATTGTCTAAAAGGGAACGAACCATCCAGGCTGCCAGAGTGAGTGGATTCACCCTGCCAGTCTGGCGAGTAGGGCGCGGGGAAGGAGTAAGAGAAGAAGGAGAATAGGCAGATAGATGAAGAGGGTATTGCTGTTGTTTCGATTTTGATTTTTTCGACCGTGAAATTAACGTCTGTGACCACGATCAGCCTGCAAACGGTGTGGTTCCCCAGCAATCTTTAGGGCTCATTTTCTGGCCCCTCCCCCTGCGGACAAGCAGTGCCTCCCTAAATAGACTGCTCGGTAGTGCCAGGCGCTGCCGCACTCCACTATGGGCCACGTCTTTTGTGTAGTGGAAGGACGACCCGAATTATCCTGAAGAGCTACGACATCTCCGTGGGCTCGTGGCTTCCTGTCGTGCAGCAGACGCAGCCTTATCTCGACAATGCCGATGCGATGTTCCATTAGATCAGCCGACCACCGGCGTACCAGGCGAAGCCTCGTCTCGGCGGTGCCGGTGCGAATTTTCTTCGAACCAGATGATCAGTGACGTACCAGACGGAGTTTCGTCTCGACGTTGCCGATGCGGAGCTCTATCCGACTAATCACCTAACGAAGTCCACAATACCGTGCTCGCAGAGCGCAGACGGATACCTTCACTTGGTCTGACCCGCCGGTCGAGGAAGTGACCGGGGTGTGGCCGCTGGGCAGAGCCCAGTTTCGGGAAGCAGCATGTGGGAGTTGAGTGCCAGCAAGTGAACGCTTGGTGTAGTCTTCAACGAATTAGCAGCTAACCCTATTATCTTTTTATCCTGGCACTACGTCGTTTCCCCTAACTACCTAACCTCTTTTCACGACTTGCTCAGTCCTTATCCGAAGTTCGGCACTTGATTTCAAAAATGATGTTCAAATCAAGTTCTACCTGTTCCACTATTTTGCACCTTCTTCCAAACGAGTATTCTTGACTCGCTGGCTGTCTCTATAGCCCACCCAAATCCGTTGAGTATTTTGATCGTTGCCTTTCACAGGCGTTCCATGCCGCGGCTGACTTAAGCTTTGATTATCAGTTGGTCTTGTGTGAATTTAATGCCCCATGAAATCTGCTGGTTCCTGCCCTTCGGTCCCAAAAGCCCAAAGACAAAATTGCGGCTGTAGATTTTGGCTTGCAAATCAGGTTGTCAATTTTCCCGCCCGAGGATCAAGCGCACTTGACCTAATTTTCTGTGGATTTTGCACGCCTTTGTCAGTATCCCCTAGGCAGGCTAAGCGATTGTCCGAAAAAAACAGCTGGCCGGAGATTTTTACTTCACCAATAATTGCTGGTTAAGCGTAGCGAATTTTTTTTCTCAAAAAGTATGAATGTCTAATCATTCCCTGACAATGTTCGTAAATTAGCATTAAATACAACTTTTACTATTACCAAAGAAAAATGCAGCATCTCATCCTCCGAGACATTCGTGGAAAGCCTATAGCAGACGCCAAGTTGACAGTTGATATTTTTAATGCTTCCTTATCGGAAACGTCCATTAAAAACTTGACCACTCCGCTTCCGACCACCTAGGCTTGGACCGGGGCCGTTCTAGAAACAATAGCTCTCACCCTGTGGGAAGTGATTGTAGTGATTCGGCGTTTAAGTCAGTCTCATGGCTCTGGACATGGTGACCCAGTCAGCATCTAAAAAGCGGACAAAAATGAGGTCTTCCTGCCTCTCCTGCGCAGGATATTTAGTCTCAACCTTAAAGGGGAAACTTAACCTACTCTGTAGAAGGAATCACACATTTTACCTACTCCCAGGTATGGCAATCTAAGTAATTGGGTGACTTTCGGCCGGTAACCACGCTTCTAGCAGTTTCAAAAATATTAGAGACATTGATAAAAGATAATATGTTGCATCAATTAACATAGTATTACATTCTAAATGCTTCTCAGTATGGATTCCTCAAATCTCGGTCTTATGACACCTAACAGCTCTCTTTCTTCGATCATGTTCTGCAATCCGAGGATAATGGTTTTGTACACTACGTGGTCTATTTCGACTTTACTAAGGCTTTTAATCATTTTGGCCATGCTCTTCGTCTCCGAACACTTTCCTCTTTCGGAATAGGTGGCCAACGTCTGAATTTTATATCCTCTTATCTGCGTGCTTGCACGCAACGGGTTAAGATATCCAATGTTATCTCCAACCCCACATTCGTGAGGAGTGGAGTCATTCAGGATGGTGTATTTGGTACACTATTATTTTGCCTCTTTGTTAACAATGTACCAGATTTATTTCAGGACGGTGAGCCCTTCGTGCATGTGATGGTCTGAAATTTGCTTATCGATATGAACCGGCAGATCGCGTCACCGTGTTCGAACTCCTAAAGGACGACCTACAGGCCTTGCCCAGTGGTGCTGCACATGGCGCCCTTCTCTTTCTTAGCATAAACGCTCAGTCGTGTTGGTTGGCGACGACCACCAGCTTCAACTAAGTACTAAAGCTAACGACCTAAATGTGCCAGAAGTTATAAAGGATCTTGGTGTATCATATTCCAAGAGTCTTAATCCTTCAAAGCAATCTCCCCTGATAGTCTCAGAAGTGCGTATAATGATCGAGTTTGTCCCCCGAAATTTTAAATCTTACGACATTAGAATGTGCCTTTATAGAATAAACGCTAGACCTGGCCTAAAATGCCGTTCGTATTTGTTTAGCCTCGTGCGTGCTGCTGAGCGGAAGAAAATAAAATCCATTCAATATTTTTTTACCAAGAGAGTTTTAACCTCGGAACGCCGGAATTTGACTTACCAGGAACGTTGTTAGCTCACACGTTTCGATCCCTTGTGGTTTCGTCGATAACAAAAGGGACTATTTTTACCATTTAAGCTTTTATATAGTCGTACCTTTGATTCACTCACCGCTTTAGAACATCTTGACCACCCCCGACGTAATGGACAACGTGGGGTCTTTTTACTTCTTCCTCTAGCACGTACCGCTAAATATCGTCGTCCGTTTTCTGTGAGCAAAACTGGTATTTGAAATTACCCAGAAAGGTAAAAATTCCGCAAAATTATTCTTAGCTAATGAGAAGTATTACTCGTATTTTGTATATAGAAAAACTCAAAATTTTTGGTTGCTGAACCCACCGAACTAATGTACTGTAGTGATGACGCACATGGTCTCTGGTCCCCCTGCCCAGTTTCATCCCGTGAGAAATTGTGCTGAATCTACGGTCCGCAACACTATGTATACTTTCTTCAGCCGACAGTGACAACTGTTCTTCAATGCTTCTGTTTGATTTATCCCATTATCATGGAATTGAGACTGAAAATATTATATGCAGTTTTAACCATCCCCTTATGAACGGACGTCATTTTACGGGCAGCAGTTTTTTCCCCTAAAGTATCAAAACTATCAAAAACACCGTCAACTTCATCTGCTTCCGCAATAGTTTTCCACTGTTAGACCTTTCCCTGCTTTATCTTTCTTTGAAAATGCCCGTAAACTGATGTTAAATGCAATTATTATTATTCTTATTATTATAAAGTGGCTGCAAAAGCAGTGTCAGAATCCATTCACATGTTCCCCATCGCTCCTCTTAAGAGTGGACGAAATGGCTGAATTAGTTCCAAAAAGAGACTCACACTAGATAAATGAAAGAAACTTCTAACTCTTAGCGATTAAAATAATCGCTAATCTGGCACACAGATTTGCCGTCTAGAACGTCGTCAAGTCCCCCAAAGACTATCTTCTTTTGCTTACTGAGGGTAATTATTTAATCACAGACGGAATGGATAAGGCAGAATAATTAAACCCCTTTTTTTCTGACCATTTAATCCCTGAAACTAACTTGGTTCTGTGGAGTTCCCCTTTGCTCGTTACACCCTCACCACCATCAATATTTTCACTGTGATTATTCGAAAATGGATGTGACATCTTAGTAACTTGCATAACAGTGGAATTGACAGCGCCCTGAACCCACGTATTAAGCGGCTAATGAACTACCACCTTTACTAAGCAATCTTTCCTCAGACTTCCTGCATAGCGGCATATGTCCTGATTGTTTAAAAAAATTATCTCCTATTTTTTGTAGTTAATTCCGGCTCTCGTGCCGATGTTTGAAGCTATCGGGTCGTTTGTATAACGTCTTCTGTCATCAACGTACACAAAAAATAGTTAGAACCATAATAATTGACTTAGATATAGCCGACCATGTTCACATCTATTCCCAGCATGGCTTCCCGATCGAGTGCTCTTACTAAGCATGTCATTTGCCTCACTTCAATACGGTCGCCTTTCTTTATTCCGAACATACATTTTCAATACCCGGCAGCTGGGAGATCTTCTGAAATAGATAAGGTCGTTTCTGGTTGGTCGGAAACAGCATGCCTGTATCGAAGATGTTATATTGCAGCGACCGAGCGAGAGAGAGAGAGAGACTCCGAGTCACGAGTTATAAAGGAGGGGGATGACGGCAGCTTAAACTCAGACGGTACAGCTGACTAGACAATCCAGTGTAAAAGTCCTTGCACATTAAGATGTGCGGGATCAGGTCGAACAGGCATATAGGACATCAGATAGACAGCACAGGTAGTAAAAAGATATGAGTTTATTATGGAATATACAAGAAAAGAAAACTAATATACGTAGGCTGGGGAAAAACGAAAGAGGGACGGAACGACTTATCATGAAGAGGCGAGGTTTTATTCGTCCGCACGCGACCTTGGAGGCGCAGTTCCTGCAAGAGAAACGGAAGAAGCATGCGTCTAACCTGGCAGTTCACTAAAACAAGCAAGGTCGGATCCCTGGTTATATCTCCGGCTGTTACAGCATCAGACTGGTTGAACGTGACTAGTGGTGTTCCTCAGGGCACAGTTGTCGGACCCTTTCGTCCTCTATGTGAATGACATCCTTCAAGAACCCGAACGCGGCAAAATAATGTTCGCCGATGACGTCAAGCTCTGGCAAGTCGTAAATGGTCCAAATGACAAGGAAGCTCTTCAAAATAATCTGCATCGACTGCAAACGTGATCCGAGAAATGGCTTCTGAATCTCAAGGTGCAGAAGTGTGCCATCCTTCATCTGCATTCAACCAAATGCCACTCAAATGACGGGAATAAAGACATATCACCTGAAAGACATTACTTTTCCCACAGAGCTCGGATACGGGGCAACGCTAAACCAACACTGTAGTACAGAAAAGCTGCAAAAATGCAACGAGAGTGTTCCATGCGATCAAGGGCGTTTTTGGCCTTCGATAAAGACCTTTTTGGGAGAGCTTACGGAACCTTTGCTCGGTCTCATCTAGAATATGATAAACAAGCGTGGTGACCATGGCGGCAAAGGACCAAACATCCCACGAAAAGTACAACGCCATGCAACAAAGCTGGTTAAGTGTTTAAAAAACTAATTTAACATTGAAAAAATGAACTGCATTAATTTATTCCCTCTGCGTTACAGGCAGCAAAGGGGTGGCCTTATCCTGATTCGCAAGATAATACGTTATATGTATGTATATGTATATGTATATTGAAGGGTTACAGGCAGAGCCCTTGATGACCCTATTTATGTACAGTGCTTTCGCAGATTCATACTCAAAAATAAAATAAAATTGCAGGCATTTAAAATGTGATTGGGTCACAGTTCAATCGTAATCATAAGGTAGTGCATGGGGTCACTGTAAATTGGTGCGGAAGATTGTATATGACAGATTTTACAAAACTGGCTGAGCATAGTCATGCTGTACAAGCCGATTTCTGTCGAAAACTAGACGAGCAAGTTTTCTTTTAAACACACAAACTGTGTCAGCCGTCACCATCTCGCTTGGAAGCGAGTTCCACGGCCTGACAACCCGCTGGCTGAAAGAAAATTTTCGTCGGTCTAAACGTGTTCGCTCATTCCCGACTTTGAATGCATGGCCGCGTAGTTGGTTTGTACGGGCGAACTCAAAGAAGTCCTCTGCTCTTAATGAGCAACCCTGGCCGCGAACAATCCGGAACGTCCAGAGTAGACTGCAGTTTATTTGTCTATAAGAGAGAGGGAATAGGCCAAGCAAATTTAGCCTCTCCTGATAAGACAAATGCTTTAGACCGTCGACCATCTTTGTCGCTCTGCGTTGCACCTGTTCGAGTAAGTTGATATCCTTCTTCATCCATGGTGAAGCTGCTGGCATTCCATACTCTAGATGAGGTCTTACAAAGACACAAAAGAGTCTTTCGAAGAGTTCGGGAGGAAATATTTTAAATGCACGTCTGATCCAGTGTAGAGTACTAGTTGCCTTCTGGACCATCTTTCTGCAGTGTTCTGATGGCGATAGATTTGTGGTCGTCCATACACCCAGATCTCTGTGTCTTTCCACAGTTTCTAACCTCGTCCCGTCAATATAGTACTGGTGTTTGGGAGAGGCATTGCGGCCGGTGTTCAGGTGCAAAACCACGCATTTGGACACGTTAAACTTCAAAAGCCATCTGTTCGACCAAGCACACAGTTTGTTGATGTTCGACTGCAACTTCTCTTCGTCATCATCACACTTGACTTCACTCCATATTTTTATGTCATCCGCGAACATGAGAGCCTCGCAATTCACGTCGCTGATACAGTCATTAACATAAATCAGGAAGAGTACTGGGCCTAAGACAGAACCCTGTGGGACACCACTTTCCACCTTTACCCATTCCGAGGTAGAATTACTAACGACGACTCTTTGTAGTCTGGAGGACAGAAAACTCCTGATCCATTTAAACATTCTCCCTTGAATCCCTACATCCCAGATCTTTTGCAAAAGAAGCCTGTGTGGGACACTGTCAAAGGCCTTCTTGAAGTCAAAAAATATGACATCTACTGGAAAACCCTTATCGGTAGCTCGTGTCCATTTCTCGTGTGAGTAAAGAACACTCGTTAAACAGGAGCGCCCTGGACGAAAGCCGTGTTGGGCATCGCACAATATTTTGTTCTGTTCCAGGTATTTCATTAAGTGTCTTTTGATAATGCGTTCCATTATTTTACACGCGATGCAAGTAAGACTGACGGGACGATAATTTCCGCAGTCAAGTCTTGAGCCTCCTTTATGGATCGGAGTAATGAGTGCGCACTTCCATTCTTCCGGTAGCTCGCCGTCTTCAAATGACTTTTGAAATATTGCGGATAAGGGTTTACACAGTTCATTAGCAAGTTCGCGAAGTGCTAGGGCGGGAATTCTATCTGGGCCAGGCGATTTGGCAGGTTTCAACAGGAGTAGCTCGGCCCTAACAATGGTAGACGAAAAGAGTGGTTCCTCGGTTAAGGAGGGTAGGGAGGGGATAGGATGGGGAAGGGTACTGGGAGGAGAGGTTGTTTGGCGAATGGATGGATGGGCAAATATAGCATTAGGTTCTCGGGTGAAGACGGACTGAAAGAAGTCGGAAAGGAGGGATGCTTTAACCTGGTCATCAATCTCCACTTTGCCATCTGCAGACCTGAGGGCAGGGATTAGCTCCTGAGTCCTTTTAGTACTTCGTATATAACCATATAGAATTTTCGGATGCTCCAACGAATTTCGGAGTATGTTTAGTTCAAACTTCTTTCGCAGCTTTGAGGCCTCACTTTTACAGACGTTTCGTTGCCGCTTATATTCCTGTAAGTGTTCGTCGGAGCCAGTTAGTCTGTAACGCCTCCACAGACGATTCCTTTTTCTGAAAGAGGCCTTCAAGTCCGGGTTTATCCATTTTGGGCGGTTTGTGATTGTCTTTCTTCTAAGAGGACAATTGGAATAAACAATCTTTTTCAGTAAGGAACTGAAAGTATTCCAGTTATCGTTTGCTCGACCATGCAGTTCAGTCTCCCATGATATAGCTGCCGCTTCCCTCCTCATGAGACAATAGTCACCTTTCCAAATGTTTCTCTCCCACCTCTCGGGTTGGGCGGGTTTGTAAAACAGTGAGTACTCGAAGAAGAGCGTGATGTGGTCGCTTGACCCTAATGGCTGTCGGTCCTGCAGGTCTAACACGTTTTCCTCCTCTCGGGTAAAAATAAGATCAAGGCAGTTCGACTGCTGTCCTTCCCTGACCCGTGTTCCAAAGGTAACATTCTGGCA